TGTCTGTTCTTAGCTTAGGAAGCTTGGTGAGGCTGTTGGCCAGTTCCTGGAGTCTCTGAGTTATCATCTTCAGTCATGAGATGGACAGTTCCATCCAGAGTGTGCGCTTGAACATCATAAAATCCGTTACGTTTATCGAGCACCAATGACCAAACGATAGATCATCCTCAAGCAAGTTTATCTTGCAGTCAGGAATCGATCGCTTTTTTCCAGTGATAGAAATCTGCTTGCAGCGTCGTCGTGGGGAATGAAAAGTGGTCTCCTTGACGCCGCGGGAACGCATGCCTAATTCATGCACCGGCTGCACATCACTGTTTCCGAGGTCTGGTGAACTCTGGTTGTAGATATTGCCGGTCATGTCTCATTGCCCTAGAGGAGACGACAGATCACAGCTCCCAAACATTGTCATTACAAGAAAGAAAAGCAAGGCTGAGACCAGCTAAAAGTGTGGGTCCCGAAACGTGACAAAATTTCTAACCAATAATCCCCGGTCAGTGCGTTTTGTCCCAAAACTAAAATCCTCTCTGATCTTGAACCTTCTTGTCTAAATACTCATGGAATCCATTTCGTCAGCGCGACGAACGACGCTGCTGTTCCCAGATCAATCTAAGCGCTAGTCACATTATATTTTCCAGCTCCTCAGGCCATAGGAAGTCTATCTTCCACGGTACGAATTCCTTGTTTTACCAGCTTTGTTTGTCAAACACACTACACGCCTCTGCTCCTGGTTCACACATTCTGGTGAAGATGTCAAGTACAGCCAAATTTTCCTCCTACCTGCGTCTAGATGCGGACAACAAGACGACCCACAACTACCACGTCGCGAAATGGCTGTTCAGCACGCGACCAGAGTCTTGAAAGGCCCGAAATTGCCGTCGTCTGAGTGTCGACTCCTCTTTGTCACCGTGCTTGTCCTGTCGACAATCCAGTCGTAAACTTCAGCGAGGCGTCTCGAATCTGGATGGCTCAATATTTTCATCATGGAAAGGCGTCTTAGCTGAGGATCTCGTGGGAACCCAATGATATATAGGGCCCGGCTTATATCCACATTTGTCCTTCCCTCTCTTTGTCACACTTCGCAAACCCAAGGTCTAGAAGTAAATAAAGAGTAGTACATTGTCCAGGATTTATAGGAGGCGGCCTTGCCCCCGATTTGCGAAGGTTGAGACAAGTTTCGACTTGTCTTTGCGGTCCAGTTTTGCTATATTCCTGGATTCTTGACCAAGAAAGTCATCTCAGTACTGTCTGTCAGCTGGTCTTTGTGGGCATTCAACACTCCTAATCAGGCGATACTACAAAAGGCTTTAATTTCCCATGTATTACCACGAAAACGACCATATCATAAGCATCGTATGTCTACGGAGTACGCCACCGTTTTCCTCTCATAAGATCACACTGTTCAGCAGCATCTCTATCACACGGCACTCTTTCTCAACACTACGAATACGCAACATATCGCGACTACTTTGCCCACCCTCACGTTCAGAGCACTATTTTTAAACATCTGAAGGACTTGTATCACACTGTGCCTGTAGTGTCGCATTGATAAGTATTACCCTTCTTGTTCTCGTTCTTACTTACCCAATCTTCTTCTCACACCGCTGGACTAACAGCTTACACCGGATCTCAGCAATCAATTTCCCTTTCCTCAATTTCTATCCCAATACACTCGTTTGCGCGATACGATAACATCGATTACAGTACGCACTATCATGACCCGTTACCAAAATCAAAAGAACCAAACAATTAGAGGACCATCACACCCGAAAGTAGGCGAGAGTGGAAATCGACACGATGAATCAGTCGAAAGAGAACTGGCAGAACAGCATTTTCGTGGGGCTGGTATACCTTTTTCAGATTCCGATATCTCCCTAAGCGGCGGTCCAATCAGCTCTATCGCTGGTCCATACTATGATCTCGATTGCGACGACATTGTTTCTCGGACTCCAAATGTCGGTCAGTTTCAAACAAATTTCTGTGATGCTGAGTCTAGGGAAGCTTACCAAGATGAGACACATTATCTTCGAAGTCATACGTCGAAGTCCAGGCCACTTGACTTTTCACCAGAGCTGCAGATTTATCCTGATCTCGACAAACTTTCCGATTCTGACCTGTTCTGGGTGCAGTATCAGCACGGTGCCAATGTTGGTAGAGATCTGTTCCCACGTTGGAAAGGTCTTCAAACAGACGACCTTCCTCCTCGTGAGACACTTCGCTTGATACCGAACGAGGAACGCAATCTCACCCACATGAGCGGAAAACTGCAAATAGCAAAGAACGAAAACGGCGAACAGATTCGATCGGAATTGACGGACGAGCATTTGTACGAATTGCCATTTCTCCCGCGTTACATAGATATGAAGACGGATGCAGCTACGAAGAACATAGACAACTGGATAATCATGGGCGCTGACCTGAGGAGAGATATCATCCCTCGGTCCATAAACTACAACCCATACCACTCCTTCGATGAGAATGGAGACGAGTTCTTTGATTGGAAAGCAACTGCTGCGCATCTACAGCGCACCTACACCAACAAACATATGAAACGTGCAGAGCAACCTCACGTCATGGGCGGTCTACTGCGAAAATTTCGCATGGACAAAGGCCGCTTCGCTGAGTTCCTGACGCCGATAACGTTTGATAAGCAAGGTAATCAGCGAAGGATGTTACTCAATATGGAGAACTTGCTCTTTAACACGCGTTGGGACATCGATCTGGACCGCATGGTGATGAGAAATCCTCACTCACATCAAGAGCTCCCTCTCTTCACTCCTGTCGAGGTCCGACCACAAGTCAGGGAATGTCTCGAGAAAATGTTGCCTCATGAGAGGGTGCCTACTCTTCGCGATCTGTTCCAAAAGTATCCCCATGTCAGTGGATATGATGAAAGAAATCATCCTTTGTTTCGCAGATCAGAAGAACTCGATACGCAGCTTCGCAGAAGTTGGGAGATGGAAGCTGCGCGGCGTGGTAATCGACGCCCGCCGATTACTGTCACGAAGCCAAATTACGTAAAAGGCAGGAAAGAGATCACGGCCAAGCGAAAAAAGAGAAAGAACGACGCGCCTCCTGACGACGATGAGGAGAAAGAGGAAGATGAGCGGCCTTCAAAGAGGACTAAGACAACGACCAAGAGCGACAAGTCACCCCCACAGCGAAATATTTCTGCAGTAGCTGCGCCCAGAACAAAACGTCCTCTCAAACTGTCCAAATCGCCTCTTGCCCATCATAGTCAGTATTCAGTGGGGCAAAGCAGCCATGCTTCAACATATTCGACATATCAAGAGACACCTATTACTGCCAGTTTCCACGAAGCCTCACATACACAAATGGACTTACTTCTACAACCAATGCCGGACTTAAATCTAGTCCCCGAGGAGCTACTCTACCATCCTCCCGTCGACTGCTTTGACGAAAACGGGGTCTTTATTCAAATTCTTATCTCCCAGTATTACGCAGCTCTTACTCCAGAGAATCGACAAATGTACAGGAATATCCGCGACGCCCAAGGGCTGAATACAGCCAAGCAAAGGCTTCTGGAAACATTCGGTCTCCAGCAGACCTCAATCACACCTCGCATGGCCACTGGACATGGGCCGGGTATGATGCCTGACGAGTTCGCCCCCATGACGGGTGGGAATGACTCAAGAGCTATGGCTGTCCAGTTTGATGATGGAACAGCCTTAAGCATCCCCCAGTTCTCACCTTCACCAATTCTACCTCACGGTGTTCGTGCCCCAGAAACACGAAATTATGATACGCATCGAAACGCCGAGGCTCTGCCAGTTGACCAGCCAAGCCAATACTATGATCCACAGCTTTTAAACATGCATGCGGATGCTGCCATTGACCAAAGACAAGACTCTCTCTTTCCGCCGAATGCGCGTCATCATCTTCTCAGCCCTTGGTCACCCGAAATCACGTTCGATAATGGCGTGCCTCTAGGCCATATCGAAGAGAACGGAGAAGCCATTGACCAAGCTGTCAACCTGCCGTCTTGGAATGACAGCCTTACTGATGGCCTGTATTTTACAACGAATACAGGTGAGCTGAGTGATGGCGATTGGGCCCAACATGATGACATGAATGAGTATCATGATGACGCAATTATTCAAGGGTAAGGTCATTGCATTGATGCCTATGGTGATGGGTAGGGTAATGTAGATAATTTCTTGACACATACTTCTAGCTGTAGAGAAATTGATCATTTGTCAATAGCTTGTCCTAACCCGGCGAAAGTTTTCTCGCTCCATGTCAATAACCGTAAACATATCAAGCAAGCCTCAGCAATCGAGAAGCAGCGCTAGATGAGGAATGGTCGGTTTGGCAGGCATCGCATTGTGTATGCAGACGTGTAAGGGCTGGAAGTAATCCCACAATTCGACGAGGGTTTCAAGCTTGGAATCGATGTTGAGTCATGGTAATGAAAAATCTTTGTCGATTAGTTGATGATTCGGAGATGCACGGCGTCTTGTTAAATAGTCTTGATTTTGCTAGCGTCCATCGTCTGAGTACATCCATTCGAAGGCAATCTGATCGAAATGGGGGAAACATCTGGAGGTCAAGTAGACATTTCAAAGCCGACTCAAAGTCGTACCACGAGCAGGTTCCAGAAGTGAAAAGGTCATATCATTACCACTAGACTGGGCACCGCTGATATCAAGGTGCAGATGGTGAAAACACCAATCTTGTGCTGCAAGAATTGGGCGAGGTCCAGGGACACGTTCGCTCTTGGCATACACGAGGGTGGAAGCCAACTGTTCTTTTGACCTGTTTGTGTCTTGTATAACCTGGTCCTATATGTCGCCCTAAAATAAGGCTCGACAATGCCTAACGATCCGAGTTAACAGAATGGCAGAGGAAAGTACCATAGACCCTAATGTCCAAAAGCGTAATGATTGATACCGACTCAGATGTATTCGTTCAAACCTCCTCAACTTTCCCCGCAGAAATGAAAGGATCATAATAGATCATGTTGAGATTGATCCATCGGTTCAGCGTTCTTAGTTCAAGGGTAGAATACGAGCTTCCCACAGGTGGAATCTGCTCGTGGTACGAGTTCGAGTCTCGTAGGACGCAAGACGGTGCACAGCTGTGTCGAAATCTTCTTTTTGCTTTCTGATGGTTCTTCCATTGGATTTTTATGTGTTGGCAATCGCGCGTAAATTTCGAGCCGCCACGTTCTTATACTAGTATGTATGTGAGCACGCGGACCAATTTTTGCCCGACCCTACTTGTCACGAAGGTAGCAGCTGTGACGACAGAACAGCAACTCCAAGTGGGCTGCTCATGACATCCTCACAACAATGTCCAAAATACAGAAAACAATCGCGAGACAGCAGGAGAAGTAATTCGAGTCTGTACCATCGTAGAAGCATAAATACTGACCATTGGCGCCGCAGAATCCAAGAAGGACAGTATTATGAAGCCCACCAACAGCTGCGAGTAATAGCGTCGCGCTATGTCAAACAATCCAACTGGGATGCCGCCATAGACATACTCTCCTCGGGTGCTTCTGGACTCTTGAAAGCTGGACAGGGTGGTAGTGGGGGTGACCTCTGCATGTTTCTTATCGACACATACAATAAGGCAGAACTCAAACCGGACGCTGCTTCGAAAGCTAGACTGTTGGGCTTGTTGAGAGCATTTCCAGTCGGCGAGCCAACGCGAAAGAGGTTCATCGGAGAATGTATAGCATGGTCAGGTCGGTTTGGCGAGTACCCAGCTGGCGACCCGGAATTGCATCACGTCGTGGGCACTCTGTATGCGGATGGTATGGACAATTTGCCTACTCGGTGTTGCTTGATACTGATAGAGCAACAGAGGATGAACCCTACGAAGCAGAAAAACACCTCATTCTCGGAACCAAAGACTCTCCCGAACTCCTGACACGACTCGAGTACACCTGGTACACCGAAGATGAACCCTCCACAGCACCTTTATACTGCGCCCGAGTCGTCCTCCCCTATCTCCTTACAGGAAACCTTCGCTCAGCGAACCAAGCCTTTCTCCTCTTCACCACACGCCTACAAACCTCAAACCCAGGTCTCGTCGCCTCAGAGGTGTCTTCCCAAGCCTCCGACCTCCGTGTCTTTCCTTCACTACCACTTCTAAACTTCCTTGGTCTCCTTTTACTAGCATGTCAGCGTGGCGACGGCAGTCTCTTCCGCATGCTGAAGAGTCAATACAAGGGATACCTAGCGGACGTCAAAAACTGGGACGAGGCACTATCGCAGATTGGAGAGATGTATTTTGCGATCAAGGTGCCCAGCCAGAGCAATCCTTTGTTTGACATGATGAGTAACATGATGATGGGTGGAGGAGGCGCACCGAAGAAGCAGCCGAGGAGAGTCGGTGCAAGTGCACCGCCTCCTGCTCCAGGCGTTGACTAGGATACCTTCGGACACTGCCACATAATCGAACACTGCAAGATGTATGGGAAGATGGGCTGAAAGTGTTCTAGTTTCTTTACGCAGTATATGATAATGGCCCAATGTTTGACCTATACACGTAATAACCTCCATCGAATCAGCATAGATCACGATCAATCATCATCCAACCCGCTTTCTTGTCTCCCATGCAATCCCACATAATCGCAGGCAGTTCTAACAAAATCACAAATCCCGCATGACATTCATCATGGATCCAGAAGTGAAACGCGGAAAGAAAGTTACAAGTTTGCACTCCCTCACCGCACACCCCATCAACGAAATTCAATACCACCCGCTTATCAGAGAGGGAAACAAACGGTTCATGATCACCTCCACCGGTCTCATTATCCCTCCATACACGCCTTGCCTTGCCTTGCCTTGCCGTCATGAATACCTAACGTGAATGACCTGGCATGCATACGTGTACAACATGTAGACTCGCGACGACAGCAAGAAGACCTATCCGAAGACACACATTGGAAGATGCTTTGTCAGAGACTAAGGGATGCAGTGGCCGTCATCAGTTGTTGTCTTTTGGTCAGAGAGGAAACGAAGCGTTCGTCGATGTCGGCTATGGTTCTAGGGGGGGCACTGGCCATACTATGACAGAATTAGTACCGCAAAATTCGTTGTTGAAAGTCTCGGACTGTTACACACATAAAAGTCGCACGCCTCTGGGGCCCATATCTCCCCATCCCAGTAGTGTCTGATTCCACAGAAAACGTCGCAACTTCCAACGTCGTACGGGATTTGCAGTCCCGGTACTGGTGGGGGCGGCCTCAGCGTATGCTTGTGGGTACGTGGCGCGTAACAGTTCATACGCCACGTCCATCCTTTGGCATGCTGTGGTGTGTTTTTCCAGTGTGTATCGCAATAGGCGGATTCTGCGCATGAATCTGATTCTCTGATAACCCAGACGTGGAATGCCCTGCGGGCTGCGTCGAAGAGCTCCGAATATTGTGCGAACGTGCCATTTTCTAGCAGTCATTAGATCTTTCATCGGGTGTTTTGTACGGGGGAGGAGGTTAGGTCTTACTGCATGCGAAGCCCTTCCCATCGCAAGGGATCATGTACTGTATATACCTCTGTTGGCAATCCCATGCGTAGACCGAAGTTGGTGCCGCGGCGAGGATAGCGAAGAGGCAGGACGTAAAACGCATGGTGATTGGATTTCAATGTGCTGGATTTGAGAAAGGTTTAGCCATGACTTCAGGCGAGGATTTGGGCTTTCTTTATACCATTATAGCTATCGTGACCGGCCAAACCACTGTAGTAGATCCGCCGCAGTGAAATCGTGAGCACATGGAGTCGTCTACAAGCATTTAGATTGTACTAGGTACTGCGTAGTATTACTATACCATGGGCAGCTGGCAGAAAAAATGTTAGCACGTCGATCCACCGTAATGAAGCCGGACCTGAGCAGAGCGGAGAATGGGCTGTAAGAGCCAATCGGGGGTCTACGCATAGGCTATAAATGAATATTTCATTACCGTGGAATGATCAACGCAGGACTATTTATCAGGTGGTGAATTAACGTCGCAATTTCGTCGCCTTCTTTCCCAGACCAATTGCAGCATCGGGTCTCATCTCCCGCAACAGGGAGATAGGTTTGACAGTACAGTAGAGGAGTAAGACCGGGTTACTCTTTCTAGCTATCTATAAACCAAGATTATGTATGCCCATCATCATGGTGGAAGCCTGAGGTTCGTGGCTGATTGTAGAGGACCAAGTGGGAACGTTAAGTCTCCGCGTGATAGGACGATGGACTCACCGCAATTGAATGATGCCTTACCTGCAAAGTAGTGATAAGGGTGTTAGTATGGTTATCCCTCTACAGTAATGTAATATTCGTCAATAGCTCATACCTAGACTCTGATTGGCTCTCATTGCCTGTCATCAACTTATCGGTTTCGCTTAGGTCTGGCTTTATTACGGCGGATCGACGTGCTAGGTAACATTTTTTCCGCCGGATACCATGGTAGCTTCCATCAAAAGACACCCTGTTGGGTGACTCGCGATTAATGAACATTCGCTATAAGACCACAGTACATCTGCCAGAAGTAGATCGTGGAGGGGTGTTACCTAGCATGGATATATCACTCCGAAGTAACATTCGGAAGTACCGAGGAAGAGAAGCGTCCTCTTTCATTTGATGGACGGTGTTGTTGTCGTAGCTTTTTAATTGGATGATGTTGAGATACGATGGCTACAAGGCGAATAAATGTTAGCCGAAAATCACTCATCGTGGGTCCTCGCATGGAATCTACTGTGGTAGCCGGCTAAAAGAAGGTTAATTCTGGCCCCTGTCTTGGCCAGTGCGCATAGCCGATTTTCTTCTATCTCTCTTCGGTATCTAGCAATTTTCTCTTCGCTCTGAAAGGATCATATTCTTCCTATTCTCCGCTACTTAGGTATATAGGAATAACAATTATTCTTGCATGTTGAATAGGAGAAGACGGGGGACGTGGTGAGACCCGCCGATTAACATTCTTTTGGCCGGCTACCACAGTACGAGCAATTCGAGGCCGTGCTGACCTTGCCACTGATTTGCAGCTAACATTCAAATGCGTTGCGACCATAGTATGGTTCTGCGAGAATTCCGAAATCGAGATGGTGATGGACCCCTAAGAGCGGTCCCAATCTAGAGGGCTGGGCAACTTTCTCCCGATGATGATCAGAAAATGAAGGACTCTAGAGAACACTAGCAGCTGTGTGGCTGAATCGCTCAAGAACATCTACGATAGGACAGATACCACAGTTTCCCTAGGGCCGTCCCATCAGCACGCTAAAGAGACCGAGCGAATCTTCATACATACATCCCATCCACACACACACCTACAACACCATCGCCACCTCCTAAAATTTCGCACAAGGAATAAGGGAAGGGGGAAGCAGAGGATGCCCACCAAATCCTTCCCAGTGACGGAAAATACATACACACATGAGAATTGAAGACGTTTCCCTCCACTTCGTGCTACCGAGCTGAAGCCCTTTCGTCCTCTATGGGTATCGGTACTATCGAACAAACACTTTAACGACACCATCACCGCCTGCGCTGACGACAAGGCGTCCATCGGTGCTCCAAACAACGCTGCAGACGCCCTCGCCGCGCATGATACGGTGAGATGTGAAATCCTGAGTACAAACACGCTTTTCGAGATCCCAGAAACGGATGCTGGCATCATGGCCAGCAGAAACAGCTTCGCGACCGTCCTTGCTAAGAGAAAGAGAGGATATGGCGCTAGGGTGAGCCAGCATCGAGTACGTGCATTGACCTATCAAGGATTAGCAACTTGCCAAGTGAGCAACGAATGAGCGGAACCTACCAGAATTGGCATCGAAGAACTTAATATATCGGTCTTCGTGCCCACTAATCACCACGCCCTCAATACCACCCCTTTCCGACGACCCAGTCACACCATGGACAGGGCTCTCATCCTCACCAATGCCCACCCTGCCAGAGGTGTCGGCATTCTCAATTCCATGGGAGGAAGCAACAATGGCATTGATGCCCGTAGCTGGAGTACCGTCGTAAGTGTCATTGGAGGCCATTCCAACAATTTCTTCGCCAGTGCGGGTGTCAAAGATGAGAATCGTAGCGTCGTTGAAGCTTACAACAAAGTTTTCGCCAATGGGGGAGAGCGGACT